CGCTCCCCGACCCCCGTTACTACCCCTTTGTTACCCTGCTGAAGGACCCATTCAGCTTTTCGGGAGAAGGTCGTGTTGGAACAGGGGAGTTGGGGATGGGGCAATGGCGGGGGATGGCGGGGAGGCGCGGACAAAAGTGCAACTGCAAGAGTCGTTTGTCCTGCCCTCCACCCTCCCCACCCCCCTCTCCCTCCTTTCACTTTTAGATGAGCGCCCAGCGGTGCGGCGCGGCGCCCGCCACAGCCTAGCTCAAGTCGCGACCAAAGGCGAGTCGAAAGTTGTTCGGAGCTGACGCAAAGGGAATGCTTTTTGGCGCGACCGTCGGGGCAGGCTGCACTCTGCTGCACCTGACTCAACACTCTTGTGACGGAGGCCGGTGCAGTGTGCGAGGATTGTGGCGGGAGTACAGTCAAGGATGAGTTCTTGGACCATCCACCACAAAGTGCACTGTAGTTGTTCGTGGTTTTGGTCAAGTACATCATGCCTTGATCCAAGGAATCAAAAGTTGCTGATCCGGCTTATATTTGGGTCTATATACATGACGGAGCGGTGGGCTCTAGTTGCGTTGCGAAAGGTGCGATCGGAAATCAGACAGAGAGAGAAAAAAAGACAGCCAGAGAGAAACATATAATACACACGAGTATTCTGTCAGTAAGCAAACAAAAGTTTAACTCGAGCGGAAATTGATCACGGGGGAGGTATGTTTCAGACCCACCGTGCCAGCAGCAGGGGCGGGAGGGGGTTGTGGGCGGCGGGCGGCAGAGGGGGCACTTCCGTGATGAGGACCCATTCCCTCCCGAGGGCTTATCTCCATTCCATTATGGAAGACGGACTGAAGCCGGACTGCTCAGACATAGGATGCCATCCCCGCTGAATGAAAACTTGCGCGCGCGCGGGGCGCCCTCCTTCTACTTTTAGTTACTGAGTACGCTCTAGTGCCGGGCGCACTGCGCAGGGCCGCGGGTTTGGTCTGCTCGGCCGGGGCCCCGGGGGCCGCGGCACAGCGCCTTTCAGCCGGAGCAAGTAGACAAACCCGCAACACTGCGCCGCCGCCTGGACTGATGCGCACCTCCCCGGGTCTCTGTTGTTGCCGTGTCTTTCAAGCGAGCACGAGCCATCAGCGTGGGCAATTTTACTTTTTGTTGAGCGGTGGGGTATTCGTCAGCACCAACTCGGAGTTTCGCTGATACAGAAGTGTATAGAGGGGGAAACGGGGGGAAAGGGCGAGGGGAGGAGAAAAGGAGAGAGTGAGAGAGATGAGACAATTGCTACTCACCGCGGCTAAGCGCGGGCACGGAGCCATTTCCTCCTCAAATTGCAGCGTTGCGGGTGGCAAGGAGAAGGGGTGGCCGGGGGTAAGGGGGGTGGCGCCTGGTCAGGCTCTGCAGCTAAGTGCCACCCCAAGGCCGGAAAAACGAAACAAAACTCGGCGGAAAGTAAAGGGGAGAGGGTTGGGTCGGGGCGGGAAATGGTATCGGTGGCGGGTTGAGCACGCGCTGGCCTGGGGCCGAGCCTGGGGCAGTAGGTGACCCGGGCGGGGGGCCGCCACCGCCGCTCCCGCTGCTGTTTCCACGCGACTAACCCGCTCCGCCTCTGTTTCTGTGCCCGCCTCTGCAGGTGCTGCCCGGCCTGTTCGTGGGGAACTACCGGGACTCGAAGGACGCGGCGCAGCTCGACCGCTTCAACATCACGCACATCCTGGCCATCCACGATGCCGCCAGAAAGCTGCACTCGGTGGGTTTGCATGTGTGTGTGGTTGTGGCGCTGGCGCCGGGGTCGAGGATCTTTCCCCGGCGGCGAGCGGCGGGCTTATTACGCTCATCATTGGCAGACGTCCAGAAAAATGCGGAATATGTAAGCGCACGGAAAGTATACAATGCGGTTTTCGTTCGTGTGGCTCCACAGGACAAGCATTACTTATGCGTCATGGCGTCGGACACTCCGGACCAGAATCTGCAGCAGTACTTCTCGCTGTGCAACGACTTCATCCACGGCGCCCGGCTGCGCGGCGGCAACGTCCTCATCCACTGGTGGGGCTCTCCACCCTCAAACAAGAATAGTTATTGATCAACATTTTTGATACTTTATTTTCAATCAAAGTGTCGTTGCTTTTGTTGTCTGCGTGCTGCAGCCTGGCGGGCATGTCGCGCTCGGTGACGGTGGCCGTCGCGTACATCATGAGCGTCACGTCGCTGTCCTGGAAGGAGGCGCTCAAGGTGGTGCGGGTGGGCCGCGCCGTCGCCAACCCCAACTTCGGCTTCCAGCGGCAGCTCCAGGAGTTTGAGTCGTGCCGCCTGGCCGAGGTCAGTCACCCCCCGCCGCCCTGGCCTGGCCGAGGTATTATTAGCGGTGCCCCGCCCCGCCCCGCCTCGTCCGCCCTGTTGCTGGGCGGTGCCGCGGGCCTACGAACGCCACCACGTCGCGTCGCGTGATCCTGATGCTTTTCCCCGCCAGGCCGCTTCCCGCCCGGAGAAGGGTTGGGGTTGGGCGCACCGCCGAACAAAGTGACCCGGGCGCCCCACTCGCCCCACTCGCCCCGCCCTGCCCCGCTCTGCCCCGCTCTGCCCCGC